TGATGATTAGTACTTGAGATATCAGTGGAAAAACCGAAAATTGACTAATCATTATGCAAATTAGGTAATTAGTATCCATGGATTATTACCAAAAACTAATCAAAACCTAGCATTAGTTCAGAGCATCTATGTACCAAGTTTCATCAAAATCCAATGAGTGGTTGTTTAGATATCAGTGGAACAGTCATGGAACCACTAAAAAATAGCTAATTATCATGCAAATTAGGTAATTAATATGCACGAATTTTTACCAAAAATTAATCAAATCTGCGCATATGTTCAGAGCATCTATGTACCAAGTTTCATCAAAATCCAATGAGTGGTTCTTTAGATATCAGTGGAACAGTCATAGAACAGCTAAAAATTAGCTAATTATCATGCAAATTAGGTAATTAACGAGCATGGATTTTTACCAAAAGCTAATCAAATCTGCGCATTGGCCCAGAGCATCTATGCACCAAGTTTCATCAAAAACCGATGTATGGTTCTTGAGATAGCAGTGGAACAGTCGGACACACATACACACATACACACACACATACACACATACACACACACACACATACACACATACAGACACACTAACTGCAAAGACTCCCATTTTGTGCTTCGCACATGGGAGTCAAAAATACTCGTTAAACGCATAGCCTCACAGCAATACCAATACTCACATGAATAAATCAGTGCCGGGAATATTGGTTCATTTCTTTCTTGTGCAGTCTCAACAAGAACTCTTAGAGGACCACGAGGGCATAACACTGCTACAAGATCTGTCAACATAAAACATACACTGTAATCAACATACTGTAAAACCATTTATTTTTGCTATTTTAATGTTTTGAGCATATTCACTTTGTTTTAGTTTCATGAATTTGTCAAGGAAAGAAAAATTTAATTTATCAGCAATAATAAAAAATTAAAACCCCGTGAATAATTAATGCATTTAGAGTATTGTAACAAATCTTGACTACCGGTACATTCACAAACAATAACAACAATTTCAACTCATTCGCATTACTTCATTGCTGCTTTTTTGTTGTAAATCCCAAGGTAGTTTACTGCCTGACCAAAGACCTAGCTAAATTATTCAATGACACAAAAATTATACATACATCTTTCGCTACCCTAATATTCTAGTTTTTATTCTTATTTCTTTGTTTGCTGGAATTGTCTTCATGAATAACAAGCCATGCATGGCACAATCCCCGTTAGTTATCAAATTTAAGATATATAGTTTTGTTTATAGTAATATAGCTGGAATAAAACCATGTTAGGAATATGATTTTTTAACATTAAAATGATTGACATTTGTATCTGATCGTCAAACAAGTACTTGTCCATATTGAGAGATATTGCTCTGGAACAGCATTCAAAATCAGCCATTTTGAATACATGTATATATGTAACATGATGTATAAGGAATATATAAAATTTGAATATAATTAGTCAAAGCATTTAAGAGATATGGCTCTAGAAACCCAATCATTAAAACAAAATGGCCGCCAGTCAGCCATTTTTAATCCAATCTGAAAAATAAAATGATGTGCATCAGGAAACCGTAATGTCTAATGTAAGTACCAAGTTTGAACGAAATCCATCCATATATGCCAGAAATGCTTGATATTTGATGATTTTTTAGCACAAAAATGACCACCATATGGCCATTTTGAATAGGATCGTCAAACCAATATATCTGTTTATCTATGACATGATGTATAATGAATATTTAAAATTTGAATATAATCAGTCAAAACAAGTCGGAGATATGGGTCTAGAAGCCCATTCATTAAAACAAAATGGCCGCCAGACAGCCATTTTGAATACGATCTGAAAAATAAATGATGTGCATCAGGAACCTGTAATGTCTAATATATGTACCAAGTTTGAATGAAATCCATCCATAAATGCTTGATATTTGATGATTTTTTTAGCACAAAAATGGCCAATATTTGGCCATTTTGAATAGGATCGTCAAACTAAAATATCTGTCTATCTATGACATGATGTATAATGAATATATAAAATTTAAACATAATCAGTGAAAGCAAGTCAGAGATATGGCATGAGAACCACATTCATTAAAACAAAATGGCCACTAGTCGGCCATTTTGAATCTTATCTGAAAAACAAAATTATTTGCATCAAGGTCCCATAATGTCTAATGTATATACAAAATATATCTGTAAACAGCCGAGAAATGGTTGATTTTTAAGATTTTTTAGCACAAAAATGGCCGCCATTTGGCCATCTTAAAATGTGCATCAAGGTCCTATAATGTCTAATGTATATACCAAGTTTGAACAAAATCCATCTGTAAATAGTAGAGAAATGCTTGATTTTGATGATTTTTAGCACAAAAATGGCCACCATTCGGCCATCTTGAATCAGATCGTGAAAAAAAATGATGTGCATATGTATAATATCATGTATGATGTATGTGTGAAGTTTGATTGTGATTCATCCAGGCATTTCTAAGATACAGGTCCGGACGCATGCACGCACGCACGCACACACGGGGGTCAAAACATAAGTCCCCGTTTTCGGACTGCGTCCAAACGGGGACTAATAAATTGCATTACCTGTACATAATGCTTAGTGATGTGATTATGTTATCAATTTTTAATTAAAATTTCTAGGTGGAAGGAGAATCTACTTTTACAGCATGATATAGGCATGTGCTGAGATATGAAAGGAAACATCTTCTAAAGCTAATAAACACACTAACCATTATTGCTCAAGGAGAGAAAGAATGTGATTTCACACTTAGTTTAGACATACCATATATGGATATAGCACCAAGAATAACCCAAGTTGTCCACTCTGGTAGATATTTGATAAACACTAACGCCATCAATGCAGAGATTATAATCAAATAGGCTTGCTGTAGATGTAATGGTCCCTTCCAATGTATACACATCATCCCAACCACGCCGAAATTCCACATGAAAATGGTCAGCGTTATATAATCCATAGGCACATTGTAGGTACTCAACAATTCTCTGCAATTCAATATATGTATCATAGTTAATATGTTCAAAAGAAATAAATACAACAGCATAAGGTACAGTTTTCTAGATGTTAAGGTGCAACAAAGGTAATCGACTTTTATTTTCGATATCATTTGTTGTCACACGTTTGTGTTATGCAAGTCTATGGAGGAAACGTAGCTCTTCTGTGTCCTGAAAATAGCAAATTTAATGACACAAAATGTATCAGAAATGACTAAATCACCATCACAAAGACTAAAGACAGACACAAGAAGAGCTATGAACCCACAGCTACCGGTACATGCTTTAGTAACTTTTAGCGAATGTATGTATCACAAAATAAATGCCAACATGTTTTACTCCTATGATAGCTGTTAAAGCTTCACCTTCACTAATCAAGTAGTTAATAGTACATGTAAAACGCTGAAATTGGACTTTGTGTCAGCGACCATATATTTATTTATTTATTTATTTTATATTAGACGCATACAATCCTTAGGAAAGGATAAAAAGGGTCTTACAGAAAGAAATTAAAAAAAACTACAATCTAAAAAATAAAACAAAAAATAAAAACTTTTCTAAAAAAATAAAACAAATCAAAAACAATAAAGACAATTTGCAGCCAATGGTGAATACAGAATATAGAATGAACACAAAATGTAGCCTAATACACTGATAGTTGTTGCTGTTTTGTTCCATAGCTGTTTTTTAGGAAGACAGCTAAGGCTGGTGCTAGAGTATGGTTTGCCATAATCAAAATGAATTTATTCTGACTATTTTCTTTATCAAAATTTGGAACTTTATTTTGTGCAGTCAGGAATAATTTGTCCCTATGGTGACTGTAAGCTGGACATTTCATGACAAAATGTTGCTCATCCTCAACTATATTTTGGCTGCACATATCACATGTTCTTTTATCCAGCGGCACATTATTATGTCTGCCTTTCTCAATTTTAAGGTCATGGTTGCTTGTCCTGAATTTTGCAATTAACCAAAGCAAAGCCAGTAAGCGATTCCACATTACATGGAACTATCAGGCACGAATGACCGAAAGGTTTTACTAATCACTTGTGATAATCTATTGAAAATATCCTGAAAATAAATTTCAAATAATATTTCACAAAATTAACATCTTGTATTATAGTAATAAACTTCTCAATAACTATACTCTAATGGCTCAAGTTTACGACAAAGTATGCAAGTTGCTTCAATACTTACTGTAAATAGATGTAGGTGAACAAGAACAATAACATCAGTGAGGATACAATCAGCCAACCATGTATAAACTGTAAGGGAAAGTCGTTACACGAATATTGACAATTATACTGTCACAAGTTTACAGGTAAAATATTTCACAAAGTACAGCAGCACAGAATCACTTAGCATTTATCACTGAGGTAGTGATGAGCACCTACAGGACAAGGTTTGAGTGACACATCAGTAGATGTGCATGAGGTACATTCAAGATACATGTAGTGGTGGACTACTCAGAAATGATTATATTTTACTCGGATGTTGATCTAGTTTCACAATCGAAAAGCATGTTTAATAACCTGTGTATGAAAAATTATAGTGATACAAATACAATGTACATCACAACAATATGCACTAAAGATTATGTTCTGTTATTAAGGCTACCGATATGCATGAATTTTTGCATGAATAGGCTGTACAAAATAATATACTATTTCTATCATCAGTTCCAGGTAAGCATAAAATTGCAGGTCAATAAATTACACTTACTAGTTGAAATGGATAATATAGATCAATCATCAATACGCTACAAGTAATCCCCTCCCCTCCCATTTTCGGTCCCCCCTCTTTTCTTCATTTATTTTGTTTAGGCTAAACTTTCTTTATTCCTTGTTTCTCGAGTTTTTATAAGGCAATTTTTTTGAGGAGGGCTGAACAAAAATAAAATTAATTCTTTTTTTCCATTAGATTTGTGTAATTCTCAAAGAATTGTAAATGAGATCATTGATCAGAGAGAAGAAATGAAATAAAATTTTATTTATTTATAGACTTCGGTACTTTGATCATGATACTCCCACAAAAATGCAACTTGGATTTGTTATGTGGCGGGGTGGTAAAAAAATGAAGATAACAATAATATTTTTTTAGCATTTTTTTTTGCGCTTACAAGTCAGCGGGCACGAGAAATTACGCTGAAATAAAATGTTATTTTTATTTCATTTTCGGCTCCTGTTCATTCGGCGGGTTCGCGAAACAAGGGATAATAAAAAGTTTGGCATTACAATGAAATTTAGTGCTTACTTTATAACATCGCTTCTTGTAGAGAATGACAAGGAAGATAGTCATGACAAGAATAACACCAATCATAATAGCTGCATTTGCAAAAGCATTCCATGCCTTTGTACCAGCACCACCTTTATCCTCATGGAATGGAGTGTAAATTCTGTAACAAACAATACAATAAGCTTGTAAAATCATTCCAAAAACTACAGTATTGATTGTGTTCGAACACTTCTGTCTCAGCTTGTTTCTTTCTGTATAATTTAATGTGACAGGACAGTTTTTGTGTAAAGTCAGTTTGGATAGAAATAAGGTATCTAAATTCACAAAGATTGAATGTGCCATCTGAATACCTTAGTGTTCTTCAAAATAGTCCAATATATCTTATCAATAAAAAACCTCAAATCTAAATAGCCCCAAGTTTTTGCTGAGAGTCAGAGAGGGCCTTTGGAATATCACAGTTCAAGCCCTGACCAGTTACATGTATATACAGTGAATGTTTGTTTGCTAACACAACAACAGCTATAAAGCCACCTCCTTGGGTGCTAGGGTAAAGATACAATTTTAATACTTACAAGTAGGCTCCACCACTATCATCTGTATAGAAAGTTACAGCACCAACTGTAGCAACAACAACTAACATACATAAAGATACAGGTGCAAATAACATTATCACATGCTTGGCTCCATATTTTAATGTCAACTCTTCATCATCTTCATCGTCATGTTGCTGCACAGTCCTACGAGTTGAACTTTCTTGCTGAATCCGTCGGTTACAGGCTTCATCACTATCAGATTCCACATTCTGTTCTCTGACACCCTGGAAGAGTAAAAATATACAGGTAAATCAAATCTTTTAGTACAATAATAGTAATTGTAGAATAATGATCAAGAGTTCAGAGTTCAAAGTTGAGGACAGACATAAACTTGTGGCCATGCTTAATTCATATGCTCACGGACTTTACAGGACCCTTGGCCATGTGTCTGCATATAAAAAGTCTGACCAGCCACAGGATAGCACATTTAAGCGACCCTATTATAGAAAGATGGATGGTCTCCAAATTTGGAACATCATACTGGTGGCATCAGGCCTAATTTGTTGACATGGTAAATATATTCTCTATTTAGTTTTCCAAAATGTTCAAGCATTTTGATCACAATGCTTGGAATGCTCTTGTGTCATGCTCCCCTAAATATATCAGATCACTGGCAATTTTCAAACCATTTTGACATTTTGTTGGCCTAAACTCAATGCCCTAAAATAAAATAATTTGACCTGGATTCACCCAAAGCATAATGCAAATATTTTCTTTCACACCAAAAAACCTTTACTCTAGTCTAGTTTTCAAGTTGCTTCATTTCACTTTTTCTTTAAATTAAAATTACAGTATGACTTTAGAGCAACCTGTCATTATTCATATCTTACATTTATAGCACAAGGGTCGCATATTTCCATCATGCGTGCACCACACATTATAACCACCAGTGACAAATTACCCTTACTGTAAAAACAAAACCACCCGACTTCTATAATCACCAATGCAAGATCATTTCTTTGAAAAAATTACCCATTAAAAACAACCAAGGCTGAGTTTACTAAAGTCACAATGTATTGCAATAAAATGCATGATTAAAATGCCACCAATACAATAAATGTGCAAATGTATGGTGTAACAGACTGGATAAAAGCTGTACTGTATGTTTACATATGTAACCATCATCTATAAACCCAATTTTAATTACCCCATTAAAAATGAACCAGAAAATAAACTTTGTTTATGGAGACTGTTTATGGAGAAAATTGGTAACAACGAGAAAATAATACAAACAAGGTCACACACAACCACACCCACCAACCCATATATTTTTACGACAGGCAATACCAAAATGGTAAATTAATTGTTAACTACCAGGAATAATAGGACTTAAAAACTATTATCTGTAGCACTGATAATTTATGCATGTAGAAGTGAAATCATTTAAGTAACTTTGCCCTATACTAATGGGTTTGAAAGAATGAAGGTTAAACCGAGGCATGAAAATTATGATGAATATATAGTAATTATTAAGATAAATGTTTTCATGTCATTGAGAACACCACGTGTTAAAACATACATCACAACATGGTTTCCAAGTTGTATGAAACCGCTTCACCACCTGTCTTGCAATGTAAAGTTTAAAGTTCATGGGAAATATCAAATCATGAAAATATGCAGATGTATTGCTGCTCACACAAGTATGCCTGATAATGCTTTCTGTGCAGCAAATGAAACAAGAAATTCTACACACAATTCTTACTGTGATTGGTCAAAAAGACAGACAATACACTGCACACCTTACACAATGTACATTGTGCCATGATCACAAATAAGTTAAATGATTGCATACCATTTTTGCTCTATTTGTAATACATGCACTTATATAAATGACAGGGGTGTGTCTGCAGTTCTATTGGAGATGAGCTCCAAATGGATACAAGTCATTGTAATTAAAGTAAGCAATTTCTAAAAAATGCATTTGAAATGAGACAATGCTTCCTGAATTAAATATTTATTCTTTTTTTCTCATTGACAACTGTACAAAGTACTCCTTTCTATTGCTATGTACTTATTATCCATTGGCAGTCGCAAAATTTTGTTCTGACAATGCCCATCAAATTGTGGAAATTTAATGGTTGACACTACTTAGCTTGAATTCAATTCTATAAAGAATATAAATTTGCAGTCAAGTCAAAGTTTATACAAGGCAGAATTTGATACTGTGAAATAACCCTACAACCATGTTGTTCTCTGATTGGTCTGATTTTTTGTTGGAGGTTGGGTAGCCAATCAGGTACAATCTTTTTGCAATGTGAATTAGTTCATAATAAATAGTCTTTGTAGCCTTTTTTTTAAAAGCTGTGCGCAGTACAACCATATCTAAAACAACCTGTTTACTTAACTTAATCACCATTTTAAGAGGCTGCCACAACATATGTACTGAATTGTTCCACTATAAAGTGCCTAAGCTGTTGTGTAACAACAAGCTAATAATATTTCACATGTGTTACATGCTTGTATGTCACATGGGACCGAAACTGAACATGGTGGAGTACAATGACTACATCGCTATAACCAAAGCTTTTCAGTTCCACATACAGTTAATATCCAAACCATTTATTGTCATCAAATCAACAATTTTCACCACCAGTTCCCTCTTTGCATCATAAATTCTCAAAATAGTCCTGCTTATAGTCTGCACTTTTTTTCAGAAGATTGGGATTAAAATAGCAACATTTTTTTTGGACTAATAATTGAAAAATGACTCAAATTTTGTCTGCTGGCTCAAAATTTTGGGTTCATTTCCAGAAAACTTACGATAGTGAGTGACAAAGTAGAGAGTAAAATACTTTCATTCAATAAAATGCAAAACCAGCATGTTCAATCAATGTTCTAACCATGTAATTGATGTTTGCTATACGATGAATGCTACACAAATAACATTTTAACTGAATATTAAGTATGTTATTAATATTTAGCCACAAAGCAGAAAATAAATTTATTAAAGCGACAATAGCTGCGATTTTGTTCATTTTTTTTTTCATAACACTAGTAGCTTTGCTATGAGTGGCTTTTGCAGTAAGTGGATTTAACAGTAGTGAATTGTTTTGCATATGAATATCCTTCATTGGAACAGAACATGTTCCAATATATATCTATATTTACAAAAAAACAACATTGCCATGTTTCTTGGTATACAACAAACTCTAAACAAATCCTGCGTCCTTAAAAATCTATCTTATCACCTTTGTCTTTCAGAGGCCAAAAATAGGATAGGTTATCCAACAGAGCCAACCAAAGAACCAAAATTTGGGACGTGAATTGCGACCCAAACAATATTGGCAATAAACAACAGGAAACGTGGTGACCAGTGAGGACCAAAACGACACAACTTGAATTTGTATGAAGGACATGGATTTATTTTTATTACAGACTCCCGGGGAACTATTCTTCGTGACTCAAACATAATTAATACGAGGTAGTAATAACTAAATGATGATATAATGTAATCATCATATATTGTTTTAGACACAATTGCTGAAGGCTAATGTTACGTGGAATGCGATGTGAAAACAAAGAATCGAGTAGTCGCTATTTTGTTGAAATTCGTCACGCGATGGGAAACATAAGAAAATGATGGCAAGGTAATTTGACATTTCACCCAGGGCCTGATAAAATTGTCATTATGTACCATAATCCCTGAGGTTTGCTTTTTTAAAAATTTGATTTCAAAAGGTGGAACCCTCTGACTTGGACATATACATGTATATGTGTATACATGATGTATGCTATGCTTACAGTGTCCACATTTTGGCAACGACCGTTACAAACTGTCATTAATGACACTGAAAATGTTTTATTAAAAAAAAAAAAAAATAAAAAAAAAAATTTATAGTTACAGCTATTGTCGCTTCAAATTCTTGCAGGTTTCACAATACAAATAAAACTGATATACAAGTATTACTTGTTCTAACATCAGTTTTCATCATCAGACACAGTTTTTGTCCCATTCATTTTGTCCAGAAAATCTAATTGTAAAATAAGTGACAATTTGTAATCATTTTTTGTCTTTATTTGTATTATACAACAGGCATTGTATACTATAAACAATGAATTGTGATAAAACCCAAATACATCTCCTACATGTAGGACACGCACTATTATGTATTAATTATAAAATAACGCATTATAAATGTTTCATTTCCCTGCACACTCTGATTAAGCTTGCTACAGGTACATGATTTATATATTTCCGCAATAACAATTCTATTTAATATAACATCATAAATGATACATTACCATTTCAAAGTGTACTCGTCCATTTTGTACGAAAGCTGTCTCTGGAAAGTCGGTATCCAATAGTAACACAGCGCATTCCTCACTATCGGACATTAAACTAATTATCTATTAACAAAACTAATTACGATTATTGACAAAAATCTAGAATAATTATAATGAAATACCATAAAAATGCCGTACAACATGTGGTCAGGTATGGAGTGTTTTTTTTCTCATGACCTATTACTGTTCGCCAAATCTACAGGACTATTTTTAGTGTACTGGTATGGGACTGCTACATGTAGCTAGCAAACCATATAGATGTCAGTAGCTTATATCAAACAGAGATCAAAACTCCCACAGAGAGATAATAAGCTATATTTAAATATGTAAACTTAACATGGAATTAGTCCACACATGTTGCACTCATTTTCATTCATTGTTTTCTCAATACCAAGTAATAATCATACAAATAATGTATGCATATATTTACACCTTTTTTTTAAATATTTTTGTATTTATGCAACTTTTTCAGATATTGAAGCCACTGCTGTATTTCCTAAAATGTTTGTTTTGGTGCTAACTGCACAAGCCTAACAGTCTTCCAAGCCCAATACCGCATGCTTGGAAGGCAACAGTCAGCTCCAAGAATCAAACTCTTCAACCAGTGTACTATCGCTCTGGCCTTATTTTTACATTTTTCATACAAAATTACCCAATATTAAAATCATTTATTTTATTACGTACTAATAGACAGATACTACATGTAATAGTTATCATGAATATATATATATATATATGTGCATGACGACAAACTTCAAAATGTTTATAAAATATTGCTATTGTAATTCTTATTTAATAATGAATAACTATGGCTTATCTATGCATTTTATCATGGTTGTCTTAAATTGCCTAATGCGCATACAAGAATTACAGTGGCTATAAAGATTAACTTGGTATATGCGAGTATAGTAGTGACCAAAACATGATATCTAATATGCAA